TGGGTCATCATATTTTTCAATGGGTCGGATTAGATTGATGGATCACTAAATGATTTAATTTATTTTTTAAATTTTTGGTTTGTTATATAAATAATTAATATCAATAATTTTTAATTAAAAAATAATTTAATAGATTAAGTGACTTTTTGAGGAAAGAGTGGATAGTTGAGTGACTTTTGAGTTAAAATTCAAAGTTGAATTACTTTCAGAAAGAAATGCATAGTTAAGTGACTTTTGAGTGAAAATTGAAAACTGAGTGACTATCTGAGAGAAGAGTGCAAGTGACTATCTGATGTATTAACTCTCCAACTAAGAGGAATGTTTAAGAGGTTTAGCTCATGAGAATCCCCAAGAACACATTTAAAATATTGTGGAGTCCACGAGGTTAGAGGTTCTTCTCTATGGGTGAAGCTACAAAATAATTGGTGAAATATTTTATCGCCAAATGACATTTTATCGCCAAATGACTCCATCGAGTCTGCATCCCTAAACGAATAAAACTATACCGATAAAACATAATTGCGTAAATTGTAGCCATATGAGGGCTAACAAAGTCTTTTTCTCTTTTCCAAAATTTTCCCTACTATGAATATCCCATATTGTCCGTGGCTTGACTTCAATAATAATCAAGATCGATCACCAAGTAGAAGTCAAAATAACTCTCCTCTCTAAATATAATTGAAAAAAGAAAAACACATACACAAATGAGTATTGATGTTATCTAATACTTTATCCATTTATAAAAATGGATTACTCAATCCCGTATTTACTGTGTTGAATGAGATAGGATTTCATTGGAATCAATTGATTTCGAGTTATTCCAACATCAGTCAAGGAATTTAGACTTCAAACTTCCTCATATTCGCTCAATCCAGGTCTCTAGCATATTCTGTCCAATACCAGTTGGGCATTTCCCACAAACATTATTCTTAGTCCGATACTAATTATTTTCCACCAAGATGCATTATATTCGAATTCACCTCAAGTAATAAAAAGCCCTAATTGGCTAGGCTGAACATCTTCACATTTATATTACAAAACTAAAAGCGTGCAAGTAGGAGTGGAGATTACAAAACTCAAACAGCAGCTGCCATGGAAATGGATTTGTAACACACCCTCTTGGCTGCTCGAACAATGTCTTCAACCTGCACGATTACATTATCACCGGAAGAAATTAAGTCAAACCAATTCGATCAACCAAATAAAATTCTTAAAATAGTTGAATTATATGGACGTGATTGAGATCAAAGGGCCCTTAGACTTAAATAATAATGTAAGTTGGAACATAAATGTTACAGAGAAGAGACCTGTGGAAGAGCCATCCTTTCAAGATTGGCAGCATAAGGCATTGGAACATCTGCACCAGTAATCCTTTCAACCGGGGCGTCAAGGTACTCGAATATTTCCTCGACAACTGAAGCACTATATATGACAACCAAAGGCACAAGTTTAGTTCCAAAATTAACTATAGAAATGCATTATTATATGATTGTCAGTACAGTTTGGAAGACGAACCAGATTTCAGCGCCGACACCATGTTGAGGAAATCCTTCTTCAACAGTAACTAGCCTGTTTGTTTTTCTCACCGAAGCATTGATTGAAGATCTGTCTAATGGCCTAATTGACCTAATATTAATGACCTGTAAGATTGAAATACATCAAAACCGACCTTAAAGGCAAAGAGTACACAAAACAAGCCAACAGCTAGACTTCAAAGAGTTGGTAACCATGCTGCGGAAAGGAAAGAGAAAGAGCTCCGTTGGAACTAATTTACCTCAGCATTTATATCCTCCTTCGCAAGCGTCTCTGCAGCCTGAGCAACAAATGTTGAAAAATTAAAGAGAATGAAATTGCAATGTGATTAACCAAACTCTTCATTGCGTGTATACTCATTACTATTTGAATGTAGGGAAATATACACATATTAACCTTGAGAGCATAGCCAACCATCCGTGAGAATGCTGTAATTGTCACATCTGTCCCCTCTTTCTCTATCTGTTGTACATAAAAGAAAGCATCACAAACTGTAAGAACGGATGCAAACAATCCCGAAAAAGTAAAGCTTGTCTGGGAGCATACCTTTGCTTTCCCTATGGGAAGGGTAAAGTTTGGATCAAGAACTTCTTCCGACACACGAAAAGACTCGCCATACCTGAAAATTGATTTACCAAAATTTACTCAATCAACTATCTTATTCTTCGATTTTTGCATTACATGTTGTTCTCTTGGCTTCGGATATCGTATCATTTGTTAGTGCAACGGTTCTCTTCTCCGCTGTTTTTCAGTATAGCTTCTTCATTACTATACTTACTTTACATACTTGATTGTTGTTGTTTTATTTTACTCGAGTCTATCAGAAACAACTCTACCTTCTCTCAAGGTAGGGGTAAGGTTGCATACACACTATACACTGGGTATGCTATTCTTGTACTAATGTGTTTAGAGATTTTTTACCACAATTCTCAAAATCAATTGTACTTACAATAACTCATTCTCAAGGAAAACAACCGGATCGGGATCTCTGATAGCTGCTTTTAGAAGTCCTCTCGCATCTTCAGATGAATATGGCGCCACAACTTTCAAGCCAGGGACAGACCCATACCATGGAGCATAACACTGCATAGTGACAAAATTGAGTTTCTAATATTTTCTAAGATATAGATTTCTCAAAACGCATTTCATCCCTAATAAACTGAATCATATTCTTGTGGCCAACAAAGAATAATGCATATATATTTGAGAGAGATTTATTTGTTGAATATCCGTTATTTCTCAGTCTACAGCCTGATAAAGCACACCAGCGAACATGATTTCTCTGAGTAGTTGAAGCATGCAACTTTCAAGCTTTCTGCAAGTTGTGCAATGAGCAGCTAATAAATGGTACAGACAACAATACTTCATGTTGTTTTCAATCACATTTAAACAGCAAGGCACAACGCTAATAATCAAAAGACCCTCAACGACGGCTACCTGTCAACTTATATTAGACGCATAATCCCGACAACCTGATACTCGCATCATCCAGCTCAGCAAGGTTTGTTCTTATTATAGATTGTACGCACATGTGATCTCAATTTAGAAAAGCATAAGAACTTCTCTAATATCCACACCCTGCTTTGTCTTTTTCCAAGAGCGGACCTTGGTATACTCTGGTGCTTTCACATGAATCTTTGCTCATGACAGCTGTTTATTTAAAAAGAAATACCACCAGAAAACTGATACAAGATACCTGAGAGTGCTGAGCACCAACACCTAGAGCAGCACCATTCGGTCCTCGGAAAACAATAGGAACACTAATGTTCCCACCAGACATGTAGTGTGTTTTGGCAGCAGAGTTAATCAGATGGTCTATTGCCTGCAAGAACGCATCAGAACTCCTATTATCTCCATAGAATTCTGCTTCTAATTTCCACAAAAAAAAGACGCAGATTAAGAAGGGAAAGTGGTTTTTGTGCCGTTACAAACACAAATGTCTCCAAAAGAATTCAAACAAAAGTTCCATTAGAAAGGTCAGAGCTGTAGGATCTTCTTCTAATAAAGTAATCAAATTGAAATACTATCTCCTTTAATTATCTTTTTCCACTGATCAGATGTCTACAAAAAGGTCTAAGCAGCAGAAAACACCATGATAAGCAAATGAACAGAGACATCTCAATGGAATTACCGTGAAACCTTAATGTTATAGTTTTTGTCTTTATCCCAAAGACCTACAGAATCGACTAATGTGCAGCACTCCCGAACTGATCCCAGAATGACTGGATAGGTATGGTGGTCTCACGGGTGGTTCCTCTAGCTTGTACCAACAGCACAAGGGCACTCCTAAGCCTCTCATGGATGCATTGTTCACTGTATCCTAGTTTCTGCGATTATTTCAAAATAGACATACATATGATTTTTCCCGAAGTTAGTGCACCCCGTCCTAAAGGTATGGGTTCGCCTCTGTGGATAGGTATGGTGCACTTCAATTAGCTCTTATGAAATGACACCTAAGACAGATGTAAGTTATCATGACTGATGATTACAAGCATGGTTTCAGAAAACAAAGCAGACCTGAATTTCTTTTCATCTCATCGTTCCAAGATATCTAAAATCCTATTACCTTCAGCTGAATACCACACATGTGCTGTAGGGTTGACTATACGTATATTGCTATACTGCTGCTGACTTCAGAACATTTCACGGGAAATGCACAAAAACAAAACAAAAACGGCTTCCCCACTAAAGTATGGCGGCAAACAACTAGAACACCTATTCAAGAGACCATTCAACAGGCTTGAATTGTTAAAAAGTAGGGAGAAGCACAAATATGGTTAAACATTACCACATTTGTTGAGAACTTACTGATGCTCTTGGAGATCATTATACGTCAAAGATGCTATAACACAACGAAATTATTACATTAATAATTGAAGGTGGCCGACCTTGAAATTAGTTAGTTGTGTACAGATATCATGATCTGAAATAATATGCTTAGTTCTTTTCATCTGCAACAACTCATGCTTTTTCACCCTCATTAAACTATATACGGAGAACAGAGCTTAGTGAGAGAGTTGAAAAATCTAATTTTGGTAACTACATAAACAGACAACTTATGATGGAATTTCTCCAAGAGGAACTAAAAGCTTTACACGTTACCTAAGCCATCTAAAACTGCTCTCTATACGCGGTTAATGTTACAAGTATCATTATGAGCATCATGGCAACCATTCCAACATGTGACAAAAGGTAAAATCAAGAAGTTTGAGAAAGCGAAGTAATATACTACCTGCATGGCAAAGTTAAAGGTCATGAACTCCAAGACAGGCCTAAGTCCATAATATGCGGCTCCGGTAGCGAGTCCAGTAAATCCAGCCTGCTCAATGAGAAACAAGAAGCTACACTTTTAATGAGGAAACTAAAACTTAAGGTATACCGACTGATTGCTAAAAGAGAGCGCAATTATTATAGCACATTGATGCTGAATGAAAAGACAACCTCAGTAATTGGGGTATCAACAACTCTGTCAGGGCCATACTTGTGCAAGAGTCCTTTAGAGACCTGCCAGAAGAGAGGAGGAAACAATTTCAGTACCGCACTGAAGGGGCGATCAACTTCAATATTAGAAATTCTAACCTTGTAAGCACCTTGGTATTCCCCAACCTGAATGATTCAAAAAGGTAATTAAGCACCACAACGTCAAACTTTCAAATAATACGGAAGCAAATTGTTTGTTACCTCTTCACCCATTAAGAATATTCTAGGATCAGCTGCCATTTCCTCATCAAGGGCAGAATTTAGTGCTTCTCTAACCATCATCTACATAATAACAGTTCACATATGCATAATTACAAGCAGAGGCAGAGCTAAGTGAGGACCCACTAACTTTTCATTATATATATATATATAAAATAAATAAATTTGAGGGCTTAGTGATAAGTAACGGTGGTGGAAATGCCTTTCATAGAAGTGGTGGGTTCAAAGCTTTTTCTTTCCTTTTCTCAAAAGAGAATGTTTTGAGATATTTTTCTCTTCTATCCTAAACCTTAGAACCTCAAACTCTTAATTCTGAGTCGTCTCTGATTTACAAGAGATCAAGCTTCATGCACAATTAGGAAAATGCATGCGAACCTGTTTAACTTTAACCCCAGATGAGTAGCTTCTCCGAGTTAAAGTAGGTGCCCCAAAAATCTGCACAAGTTTGAAGAAAAATAACAAAGAAGAAAACAGGGGATGAATTCTTTTATCAACAAGACAAATGGAAATATGATGTGAATGAAATTGGTAGTTTAAACATACTAAATGTGTTAAGATTCTGATAGAGACTTTAGGCTTTGCAATCCTCAGCATCATCTCCTCTTCCAACTACTACTTTCTCTGTATGAGTATATGTAATTATCAGTTTCGTTCCACAACAACAGAATACTTGACCATCATCGATTTGCTCCAAATTCACACTTTCTGATCCAAACTTTGTACTTCAACAACACGAAACATAGCAAAATGACACGATTGCATCATCATCAGCTTTTATAAAGTAATAAGTAGTGCCTACGTACTTAGATCTGATTGTGTGTCAATCTGTGTGTTATGGCAGGTGGATGTGGGCATGTGGCACTAACACACTTCACCAGCTGCGGCAGACCCACTGAGACTCCACGATGCATATATTTGTAGAAATTTAATATAGAAAATTTAGTAAAAGAAAATGATCTGATTGGTTTAATGAATTTTTGTGGTGCTTAAAAGGCTCTTTTGATGTTCGAATCTTACTTTTAACATTTTTTTTATAGATATTTTTTAACTCTGCTGCTTTCAGATATTTATAATCCTTTAAATTTTTGATCGATCACTATATACCACATTTTAAAGTTCAATTTAATGTACACGCAACAAAGCTTCGCTCTTTTGTTACTGTTTTTCACAATGTCCATATACGTCTTGTGTCATGGAATCATGTCTATTAGCTGCCAAATGTTACTTTTTCTTTCATCTCGAGGAAATATTAGTTTTAGGAACAATATCCAAAAATTCTGTAAATTAGGCATCGTCTATTACTTATTTAAACAAATTAGTCTTAATTATCTTTTGAACATGACCACTATTTGGAAGTAGATAAAGAGATGTAAAATTTGTGTCACGTTATTGTAAGGAGGTCAAAAATACTTGTTATGACAAAAACACATTTTCTGAAAATTAGGATAGTTGACTAACGAGTAAAACTACTTTCAATTGAAAGCAAAAACATTTTTATGTTGTTTGGAAGAAGCTAAGACATAAATTTTCTATTCTTAAAAAAAGCAGAAGTTTGATGCATAAAATTATGTTTTCATGAACAAACTATTCTATTCATATAAACATACTAGTTTCACGATACATGCGTTACATGTGTGTATAGTATATAGTGTATGATGTTGTAAAAATAGAATTAATATTACTAAATTAAAAATTTTCAGTAAATAATTATATTTTAAAAGATATAGGACACGTGCTTTTAAATGATTAATACAATTTTTCATTGAGTTACTTGTATTTTGAGATCAAAATGACAAACTATTATTTAAACATTTCAAAATGCATCCAAAGTTTAAATATGGGGAGAAAGTGAAATTTCTTTAGTACTATTATTATTTAAATCGCCCAATTTTGTAAACAAATGCAACCAACAAATTTTTTAAAATAATATCAATACAAAAAATGTCGCCAATAGTCTTTTCTCTGGAGGTTATGAACATAAATGATGGACACCATTTGAGTATAGTTTTTCTCTTAAATATTCATAATTTAGTATGTGCATGACACTTTAAAGATTGTCATAAATATTTTAATTTTTTATCTTTATACGTACTCTATCTTTTACCAATAAATATTTGAGTAAGACTATCATAAAGATGTAATTCTTAAGAAAAAGGTACTTTATTGTTATAAGGAATGATAATTAAATTGAGGTTTGACTGTATTTCGAATATTTAGCTTGTCCAATACTTTGTTTTATATATAAATATATATTTCAATAGTAAAATTCAATTATAATATATAAACAACATCATCTTTGAAGAAAAAATTTTCATTTCTTGAAGTCTACTCATTTCTCCTGCAGCATACGTATCATTCTTATAGAAGTTGTATCGTGATATGAAATATTAAACTTTTTCAATAATAAAAATTAATAGATGAATAAAATTTATTGTACTGGTTATACAATCTTTAATTTGATTTAGAATCATTTTATGGCCAGTCACTATTTTCCTGTCTATTTTTATATAACCAACAAGGAGTGTATCTGTGACATAAAATTTTCTAATATTAAAATGAACACAATAAAAGGAATGTATATATACATAGCCAATAAGGAAGGAATACAAAAATATATGTTTATGCGATATTCACTATAGTTTTCAATTTTGTTAAAATCTCTTGTCACCAACACTTTACTTTCTTCATTCATTTTACTTACATATCTATTAAAAATAAGTATTATCATGTCTATATTATCATATTATAAGTAAAAGTAAAAATCTATTTTTGAAATAAGATCAAAACTAATGATTAAATGGATTGCGTTGATGCCCGTTGTTTTAGGAAAATTAAAAAGAAACTTCTTCATTTAAGGGTAAAAAAATTCAAAGAAGAAATATCTTATCCGAATCATGTATCTTTATCCATGTTTGTTTATTAGTATTGTCTTTCCCACAACATTTCGTCTTTGTTAACTCATGAAAATCGTAAAAAAAAAAAAACGAGTGTGCATTTATGAATGATTTTCTACAATTTGTTCACCAACTCTTTCTTATGTGATACCTCAAATTTTCTTGAATTTTGAACTTAATCAATTGTTGCAAATAACCCTAAAATATTTTGAAAAAAATAGAAAACTTAAAAAGCAATATAAAAGTGAGTGGAAACTCTCTATTTATAGCTAAAAAATAATAGTATTAATAGGTGCTAATAGTTCCTTATAAGAAAAGTTACAACCTTTCGAAAAAGTCACTGCTCATCAGAAAAGTCACAAGCTTTTGCAAAAGCCACAACTCATCGGAAACGCACAACCCTTCGAAAAAATCACTACCATTTGAAAAAAATCACAACCCTTCAAATAAGTTACAATTCATCGAAAATGAAAAAATCTGTCAAAAAAGTCACAATCTTTCTAAAAAATCAGATCTCATTGAGAAAAATCACAACACTTTAATATGAAATGATTTTTGATTTTAATATTGTACATATAATTAAACTAATAAATAAAATAAACGGGGCATTTTAAATTGGGGATATTATAATAATTAAACATTTAGTTTAGGAATTCATCATTTTAAGGTAGTAATAAAGATATAGGTTTACAAATATATTTTTTGTGTATTTTATTTTTGTCGTCAATTTTCATATGTAATGGTTTAATTTGTGAAATGATTTTTAAATTTATTTTGTTTGTGTAGACAATGAAGTTTTATTGATAAACTCATATCAAATTCGGATTAAATGTTAAATTCTCTATACATTGACCAAGTCAAATTACTGGTTGATAAAGTCGGATTAATATCTAAGTCAAAATTGTATGACTTAAATCAAGTCGAGATCACTTGGGTCAGTTTATTAAGTTGACAAGATGAGCCCAACTCATGTGCCTCGAAGCATGGAGCATTTGTAGACATTGAATATTTATTGATAAATTCATATTAAATTAGGATTAAGTCTTAAATTCACCATATGTTGACCAAGTCAAATTACTGGGGTTGATAAAGTCGGATTAATATCTAAGTAAAAATTGTATGACTTAAATCAAGTCCAAATCACGTAGGTCAATCCATTAAGTTGACAAGATAAGCCCAACTCATGTTCTTCAGGCCCAGGGGTCAAAAATTGCTCAGACCAAAATACCCTTAAAACCCTAACTCAAGCCTATATAAAGAGGTCTTCTTCTAACCAAAAGAACACACACAAATACATGCACGCAGGAATACATAATTTCTCTTCAGTGGTGATCTGCAAGTCTTGAACATGCAAGAACATCTGTGACGAGATCAATCAGGGAATTCCATATCGTTTTGAGATATTTTATAAGGATTATAACTTTCACATTAATTCAAATACAAATAATATTGTTTGCTTGCTATTTTTCCTTTCCTGTTTATTGTATTTCAGGATTGAAACTTTAGACGCTTACAAATTTGGCACGCCTGGTGGGACAATCTTTACCTCTCACCTTTTCTCTTCCAAAATACAAGTTCAAGAATATTGACATGGCTTCGAAGAAGATCAACTCGAAATCTGCATTTGCATACAAATCTAGGTATACATTCATACCTGCATATGCATCCAAATCTGCATCTGCATCAACAAGTTTGGATCTGCTTTCATATTCGCATCTGCATCAGAATCTGCACCTACATCCAAATTTGGATCTACATTTGTATCTGTATCAAAATCTACTTTTGCATCCAAATCTACGTCTGCATCGAAATATAGATTTGCTTTTGTATTTGCATCTGCATTGATATCTTCATTTGTATCAAAATCTGCATTTGTGTCTAGATTCACATTTGCTTCTGCAAAAACAGATGGATCCAAATTCTACATTGATGTGGAGAACATCTTTGATTTTACTGCAGGAAACATGAGACCTATCACAAGGAACCAATCCAAGTTGTTGGGACAACAAGACTCAGTAGTGCAGTCTAAATCTGCTGCTGCCTTTGGTTTGTCCTCAAAATATGTAAAGTTTCTTGCGGAAGCCGCAAAAGAAGACTTCGCCGAAATGGTCGAGAGGGTTCTTTCCCAATTGAGCCTATCTACATATGAAAAGACATTTGCTATAGTTGATGATGATGTCTTGAACACTAGATCTACCCCACATAACATGTTTGCATCACATGTTTGGGAATATCAACAACATTCTCCATCACCTACTGTGGTAATGCACGCAATGGTGACTAACACTTAATTCGTAGAAGAACAACTGCGATCTTGACAAGAGCTATTGAAGGTTTGACCAAGTATGTTTAAGATAAAGATGCTCGAATTGTTAAGATAGCTGATAAGGTGGAAGGAATGATGGATAAAGAATCAAGTGATGCGCCTAGAAAACGTCCACAAGTACAAGAGACGGTTGATCGCCCTTCAAAGCAAGTGAAACATGCTAAAGAGATCCAAGTTTCCACTGACGGAATGATCCCGATTAACGAAATCAAGGAGTTTATCATGGCAACCATTAAAGACAAGTAAGAGGTTGCTACAAAATCCTCCTTGACATATGCAAGTCCATACACTGCAATGATTGATAGCTTGAAAATGCCTGCGGGTTATCAACCTCAAAAATTTCAGCAGTTCGATAGTAAGGGAAGTCAAAAGCAGCATGTGGCACACTTCATTGAAATGTGCAATAATGTTGGGACATACGACGACTACCTGGTCAAACAATTTTTCTGCTCCCTTAAGGGAAATGCTTTCGATTGGTACACATACCTTGAGTCATGGTTCTATTGATAGTTAGGAACAAATGTAGCAAGAATTTCTCAACCGCTTCTATAGAACAAGACTTACTGTAAATGTGGTGGAACTTACAAACGCTCGCCAGCGAAATGAAGAGTCGGTCTTTGACTTCATCAATCGATGGACGCGTGCAAGTCTAAACAGTAAATATAGACTTAGTGAAGCTTCGGGGATTGAGATGTGCATTCAAGGCATGCATTGGGG